TTATAATGACCATATTGTTTTAAAAAAAAGTTATGAGATACAAATGAATGAGTATTAAAAACGATTAGAAAAAATATACTATGTTTTATATAATATAATGTAAATTATAATCAAAGCCGAAATTTAAAGTAAATTAAAAAAGGTTTCTTTTAACTTCCTGCAAGGTAAATTGTAGTAAAAATGAAAATGTTTGCTTATCTTTAAGTTTCAAAGATTTCATACTCAAATCTTTCTGATCTTCTTTTTGATGACAAAAAATTGATATATTTAAGTGTGTGTATGTTCGGATACAATTTTTCGTCTACGACTTCCGGAGCATGGAACAACCGATTTGACTCAAAAAACAATAGATTCGTATTGACGGAGAGACGTGCTGATTAGTTTTTGGCAAAGGCAGATCCAACCGTCTCGGAGATACGAATTGTAGAAAATGGTCATGCAGTCTTTGAGAGAACAGATCATCCGATTAGAATGATTCAGAAAACAAATTGCTTGTGATCATGGTGTGAAGAATTTAGATTAATTTTTTGGAAAGATAATGAACGCCAGAACTGATATGATAATACACATATATAAATATAATAATTTATGGGATGGTATTATCTTACAAAAAAAATCTGCTAAAATATAAATAATATATATATATATATATATATATACTATATATAATAATATATAAATAATAATAATATAATATATATACATCTGTTTCAATTCTTATAGCAAAATAAATAAAGAACACCATGACAGCGATCAAGAAAATAGACAGCAGAAAAAAGCAAATACAACGATTAAATATAATGATTACGCATATCATACATTAATACGTTGATCCTAATTATATGTAGTATCAGAACCAGTTAACAAAAACAGGCATGGAATATCGTTCTAGAGCGCTACAACACGATATAATGTACATAGTAGATCGCGTGCGATTACTGAAAATAATCTTACGTAATACATTTCTGAATAATGCGAGCGATTCCAGACATATAAACAAAAGTTAACCTAGCGTGATTCGTTATCATTAACGTTTCGCAAGTGATCCAACTGCAATAATGAAGTGTTGATACTAATACGGTTTTATACAATACTCTATTTTCCACGCTTTTTCAATGTTTTCACAAAACCATATTCGATCACTAGAATCATGTAATTGCGGCACTGATTTCTTAATTACCATCCATGAGCATTCAATTGAATCATGTGAGAAATTTTTGTTATTTCATACAAAAAATAAAAAAGTAGGTGGATAGAAAGATACAATTTACAGGTAATGTTTCCCCGTGTATTAAAGTCCCAGTAAGATCCCAGTTTCCAGGTTCGATACCCCTCCTAATATAAAGCAGGACCTAGTGGCATCAGTTTTTACTTGGAAATATAGATAAAGCACTGTGTTTCCAAGTACAAATTGCTTCCTTATTTGGCATTGCAGCATTCAAAAACATCATCGCTGTTACATAAATTGTAATTATAGTATTCTTTACATTGAGATGAGACAAGTTTTTTTTTGTTCCTATCTATAACAACCGCCATAGTTAACATAATTAAGCAAATCATCACAACAGTTATACGTGGAATAAGTTCTGATTGCTCAAAATCAAAATAAAAGCTTAAAATCATGGATAAAAGAAGTATAAATAGATCTCGAATGCAGTTGCTTTGCCATTACCTCAATTTTAATTATTTCCGCACTCCATAGGGGCGGCACCAAATGTAGCACGTAAATTTACCTCTAGGTTTAATTCTATATAAAATAAACTTGATAAATTTGAATAAATAAAATAGAACAAAATATACGCGTATAAAATATATTTTATACTAGTAATAAATTTAGGCTTAGGAAAACCCTTAGTTGTGTGCAAAAAACACTAAAACAGGGCTTAAAGCACATGTGTAAAAATAAGAAAATCAATGTTGTATAAAGAGTAATAAATTTAGGCATAGAACAACCCTTTGTTGTGAGCGAAAACCACTAAAACAGGGTAAAGCACATTTGTTCTGTGTTTACTCTCCTCTCCAGTTTAAATAATAAATTTTATATAGATTTAATATATTTTCTTTATATTAGTAACAATCAAAACTTTATAGTCCTACAAGATGTTGTGATGACGTGGGCTATCTCTTTTTGATGAATTGTAAGAACAACTATAATAATGATGACTTTTTTTATTGAATTGATCAATGCTGAAAAGGCTATATTAACTTATATCATATTGCTATCATGTGGAAACCAATACCAATACTGCTCGATATCAAACTCTCCAAGGCGGGTTTAGATCTGGAACTTCAAATTGAAACACAGCTCTAACCACTAACGTAATAAGGAGGCCATTAGTAATGATGTATAAAGAATGCTAGTGTAAAAGAATATTTTAATATTTTGGATGATGTAGTAATTGGTAATGACCAAAAATAAAATTAGTTTAATCATATAAGAGCAACGCATTTTTACCTATTTTTTCTCTCGTTTATAGTTAAATTTGGTCATTTTACAAGCCGTTTATAATTTTGTATAGATTTATTTATAAAATCCCGCGGTTTTGGTTCAAAGTTTGAACAATTTGCAAGTTTGGTTTACATGAGATAAACATTCCTAGATTTTTTTCTTTTTTTTAATAAAAACAGCTTAGCTATCTGGTGCAATTCAGAATCATCGATTTATACTTTCCAAATCTTATATTTATGAAATGATTTATAACTTGAGCACCGCTGAACCGCATATGTCCGATATGGGAAATCTATACGGAATTACCGCATGGTAGATATCCAGCACGCAAAAAATAATACACAATCACAAAAATACTTGTATTAAAAATAGAATTGAATGCTAAAACATAAATAGCTAGCAACAATGCTTTATCCAGTGGATATCGGATTTGTTTAAATCAAATAGACGCAAAAGTTATCTGTCCGTGGAATAATGCATTCAAAACCGCAACATAAACAACTATATTTATTTACATAGCGAATGTGAAATAAAATGTTTGATCGTTTAAAATAAATTGCTGCTGGTAGATTAATAGATTATATTGTTGGCTTTAAATAGAACCACTAAATATATTTAAATAAAAACAATGACAATTGAAAATAACTACAGAATATAATAGTAAACAGTGCTTTTTCATACCAAAACTTGATTTTTTATTATATAATTACAAAATATTTTTTTATTAAATTAATTAAAACAACCTAATTGACTTTAATTGGCATCATGAAAAATTTGGCACATGAAGTTTATTTATTAAAAATATGATAAATGCTAATAATCAAAATGCTAAAAGCGATTCTAGCAATGTAATTCTTTTCTTCTATTCGATAGACAGATGCCTTACAAATTGCTGAAAACCTTTTAAAATTTTTATTGTAATAATTGCATACTGAAAAATTTATGATGAAAAAAAAACAAGATAATATAAAGCTATCACATACTGTTATCAAAATAATTTTCAGGTTTTTGTAAGAAAGCATTGTAAAAAAAGTGTATTTATAAATATGTATAATGTATAATTTATTATAATTTTAGGTCTGTTTAGCGCATGTAGATGAACACAACTTTATTGGCATAGTCCAAGATTAATAAGCCATTAATTAAATTAAAAAATTAATAAGAACCAGCTATTTAATTAAAAAACTAATTAGAATTTAAGACGTCTGCTTCTCATAGCATGTACCATCACACAAAATGGGAATCCTTACAGTAGCTAGGTTTCTTTAATTTATTGAAAATTTAAAAGTTATCATATAAATAAAAAGGTGAATTGTGGAATTATATTATGAAAATATTTGATTTATAATTTTCAGAAAACCACAGAAAAAAATAATTTAATCTGTAAAGAAAACTACAATACAAACTCTAAACAGTCTGAACTGTAAAAATGTTATTCTAGTAGAGATTTGCAATTAATGAATCAGTATATACTTAAACCTCAGCCATCGAATTAACGAACTTGTAATATTTTTTTTAATTACAAGATGTACTACAACTGTCAAATTATTAAACATCTAGTAATAATAATAAACAATAACATAAATTTAAATAAATAAGAGTACAAAGGATAGAATTTACATTAAAATGATATCCGAACATATAATATGAATAATTAAAAAACAAAAAATAAAAAAAGTTATAAGAATTTGATAATTCTTTAATATATTGGCTATTAAAATTTATACTATAGGAATTTAGTTTCTCAGAACATTTAAAAATTCATTTGTTTACTTCTATTTGATAAGACAGATGTTAATTCAAAGCACAATAAAAATATGTGTTATTCTATGGGCCCATATTTCTAACAAGACATGGCTTCAAATATTAAAAAATGTTTTTCTAAAGATTTGGAAAAGGTTTGAAAACATGTATACTTAACCATCAACTAATAAATCAATGAACTTGTCATATGAGTAATTAAAAAACGGAAATTCAAAATTATAATTTTCTTGCTTATTATTTTTTATACTATAGGTATATAGTTGCTCAGAACATCTTAAAATTTAATTGTTTACTTTTATTCGATTAGCACAAATAACACAAATAACATATGTGCTATTGGATGAGCACCAAGATATAGTTGGTTCCGCAAAGATATGGTTTCAAATTTAAAAAAATATTTTTCCATATATATATGTATACATTGCAAATTCAACTACGAATTATTCAAAATTTTAATATTCAAATATAAATAAACCTACGGACTTATTGAATAATGTATTATGTACCCTTAACACTCAACTTAATTAACGTATTCGTCACATTAACCATTAAAAAACCGAAAATCAAAATTATCATTTCCATATACTAAAATTTGCTATTTATTAAATCCCTGACAAACTGTCAGTGACAATTATCTTTTATATAATATTTAATTTCTAAAAAAAATCCTTTTGGCATTCCCACTACATAATACAAATTCTCTCATCTGTAGATTTCACTGCATAGTTATATTGAAATATAGATAGGATTTGCTCAGTCAGTGTATAAATCGATCAAATGCACTTACCAGGTACCATTCTTCTTTGAAAAGCGGGTCCGGGAAAATGCTCTGCGTGCCGACCCCGAGCGCCCTGTAGCGCGCCGTATGAAGTCTGGAGGCCGATGGTGCTACGCCGCCCAGCAGCAACGCGTCTAGTTCGCTTGCGGTATCCAGTGGAGAGAACTGCCCGTTATAAATCGTACCATAATCGCGCTTTCGTCGAACCTTCTCGTGTTGTTGCTGCACCCAATAAACCTGAAAATCATACATGATAAGGAACTAGTTGTAAGTAGTATTGGGGGTATTTTAGTGTAAAGGTATTAATTTTAGGGCATTTTTAAAGCAAACAGTTTTTTTACTATCATTATTTTAACTTTCCGTAAGGTGAGTTATTGTAATCGTCCTAAAATCAAAATTGAAATTTTTTGCATATCTTTACGTTTTTAAGGTTTCTGAACATTTTGGAATACTTAAAAAAACGGATGTGTGTGTGCGCTTATATGCATAAAATATTTGATTTATTATTATTATTTAATATTGATATGAAGATGTGCTGATCATTTTTGGACGATTTATGGCAAGGGCATGTGTAACCGTTTCGTAGATACGGAGCAAAGAATGCAAAAAAATATTCAATTTGTAATGATACCTATAATAAGGAAAAAGTGATGATTAGTTTTGGTCAAAGGCAGGTAAAACTAGTGGGGTGTATGGCATCGTGCCTTAAGGCAAATTGCTGAAACTTCCTGTACCGTAACGAAATTTTCGAGGAATACAGAATGTTTTCAAATAGATTATTATAAATATTGTAACATTGTCTAATATTTATAAGAATTATATAAACTGAATTGCAAAGTTGAAATTTTTTGTTTAAAGTATATTAGAACTTTAGTCTGAATTAAAAATAAAATCTGAATTATTTTCGATATACAAAAAAAAACTTAATAATAATAATAAAAAAAATCAATTATTTTGTTAAAACAAGCTAAAAGTTCTTTGAATCATTTAAATTGGACGCTTAGTTCTCTCAAAAACTGCCATTTTTAGCACATTTAGCTCTGTATCTTCGAAATGGCTGGGCATGTCATTGCCAAAAACTAATAATCACTTCTCCCAATCATTACTAATTGAATGTTTTTTAGATCATTCAAATCGGATGCTCCGTTCACTCAAAAACTCGATTTCTTTTTTCTGCACTCTTTGCTCCGTATCCCCGAAACGGTTGGACCTGCTTTTGCCAAAAACTAATCAGCTCTTTTCCCTATCGATAGGAATCGAATGTGTTTTGAACCATTCAAATCGGTTGATCCCTGCGCCCGAAAACGTGACTGGTGTATCCATACACACATACACACACACACATCCATTATTTCTGAGGTATGCCAAAATGTTCAGAAATCTTCAAAACGTCGAGAAATGTAAAAATTTTCAATTTCGATTTTCGGCCCATTACAATAATTTACCTTACGGGAAGTTAAAAATAGCAGTTTTTGAGAGAACTAAGCATCCAATTTAAATCATTCATGAAACTTTCTGCTTATGTTGACGAAACGATTGCTTTTCGGGCAAAGAATTTTTTTTTTATTTCAAAATTCTTTTTTTTAATTTTTAAATGATTTTGTTCAATACCGAAAATAATTCGTATTTAAATTTTTAATTCTAACTAAGTTCTAAAGCTCACTCATTTACTTCAAATAAATAATTTTAATTTTGCAATTCATTTATATAATTCTTATAAATACTAGTCAATGCCCTTCATTTTAAATCCGAAGTATTAAGTTTTCTCTATTTACGTTTCTGTAAACTTATATAAACGTCGTCGTCCAATTCATAAGCTCTTGTATTTTGCCTATAAAATAAGAATAATGAAAGTCACTGTATTTATAATAATCTATTTGAAATCATTTAATATTCCTCGAATTTCATTACGGTACGGAAAGTTCCAGCAATTTTCCTTAAAGCACGATGGCATAAACCACTAGTTCTATAATTTATTTATCAACGTTACAAATGCGCAGAAAAAGTAAAAACAAAAAAATTTATAATTTATAAATTATCAGTTGTTGAAGTGGGTGATTCCAAAAAATTGACACGTGACACGTGACCATGCCTACGATTGCTGCACTCCTTTTAATCCAAAATGAAAAAAAAATTATTAATCTAGAATGATGTCGCTATATGGCATATACTAGGATTAAATTAAAATTTTTTTTGACAAATGAAAGTCTATTTGAAATATATATATAACTGACATAGAGACTTAGATATAGAAGAAGATTTTGTACATTTTCTACAAAATGATTTCTGTTAAAAATTGCTGCGTGGGCACCAATAAAATTTGATGCAAACAAGACCTTTTTTGACATTTATATTTTCCGCGCGATTATGTATGAAACGTTTGACGAATGGATAAACAGATCATTTGCCAAAAATATAGCACACATAAAATACAAGAATTATTTGAAACCCTCGGGTATAAAATCGTAAAACAAATCATTATACCCAGGTTCGCAAGGGCTTCATTACTCATAATTGTCGAGATACACGTATTTTTATGGCTCATACATAATATAGGACATATCCAAGATAACATCCGTAATTTTACTTCGTTTTTTTTCTGTTTATGTCAGTTAGTGCTCGCACACAAAACATTCGTTACATTCGTAATGAATGTGGCAAAAAGTCCTGTTAACGTACATTTTTGCCGTAGCTTATTTCACAACAGTAATGCCGTCGCACCCCCATAACTCATATGCGAATTTATATTACAAAAGAAACAATTTATTCAAGCTTTATGTGTGTAAGTAAATAGAAAAGTAAATTTGTTTGTTTAATATATTGATATATATACATGTTTCTATATACATTGTATTATATAACAGTAAAAGATTAAATTTATATTTTTTACAAAAAATACGGTGGAGCATACAATAGAAGTTGCAAACAATAAGCAGTAAATATGAAAATAGTATATCATAACAAATAACGCATTCTATAATATAGAAAATATAGAAAGCTTAAGAAAAAAAATATTTATAAAACACTACATTTAAAAAAAAAGAGTTCTTAAAGTAATTAGTTATAATACCATGAAATGCATCTATACACTAAAATAATATTTGCAATTAATAATTAGATTGCGTTACAAAAGTATTATGCATATATAAGTGTTAGTGTATTATATTATATTATATGTTAGTATTCAAATTTTATATTAGTAATATAGTATAATATTAAAAATTTACTATACATAGCCGATTTGCGTAAATATAAATAATAGCTCTTGTGGTTATGATAAATTAATCGTAGCCTTTATGAATTAGAAATCATAGTATCTCAGTGAACAAATAATTTACGAACTATTAAATTTGTATAAAGTAGAGCGGGGCTTAAAGATCTGCGAGTGACGAGACGCTCAAAAACAATTGAAGCGTAGAATTTTTTAACAATACTATTTTAGTAAAAGGCAAAAGTTGGGTAATCAGTAATCATTTTAATTTTTAATACATCGCTATCAGGAGACATATGGCCATGTATGAATGTTCATAACAAAAGCAAAGTTCATGAGACTTGAATATAATATTTAATAATACGTTATTTAATTGTTTTATAAGACGTATTGTTATTTTTAAGTTTGGTCCAACTTGACTTTAAGCATTTATATCGTGAAAACCAAATAAATTATATCATAAAAAATAACACTTATCAAACAAACAATCTGACTATGTTCAGTAAAAATCCCAGCTAATTCATCATTCTAGAAATATATGTTTTTTGCTGTTTTTCAAAAAATTGTATCATGATCCTATAGACGGAATAAATTTGGACGGCCATGTTTTATTTTAATTTCAAAGAAATTTTACAAAATATTAGTTACATTATTCAACCAATGCAAAATATGAATTTCAAGTCGACATTTTTCAAAGATGAAACAAATATATTGCAAAATAAGACATTGTGTCCGATGGCCTCCCCGTTTTTCCCAAAAGACAATTTTCAGAAAAATAGCTAAACAACATATTTCTATAATTAGGATTCAATAGGAAATTATACTAAATATAGTTCGATAGTTGTTTTTTGATGTGTTATTTCTTGTGATTTTGTTTAGACTGACAATATGAATTGGACTTTGGAAACTCGTCTTATAATAAACTATTAAGACTACGATTTTTAGAATTATTATTGATTTATTATTTATTATTTATTATTTCTAAATCATTTGCTTCGCAATAATTAAAGTTATTAGTTTAAATATCTTTGGTATTTGTTGTTTTGATAAGTTAACACTTATTTAAATTACAAGTGGTAGCATACATTAAACTTTATGTATAGTATTTTAACTAATTGAACAAATAATTTATGTACTATTATATTTATATATTAAGTAAAATTCTCTATTATTAATTAATTCTTGCTAAATAATATCAAGCAGTAATCATATTTACCTTCACTTGGAAATTGAGATCAAAAATATGTTTCCAAATGAAAGTACCCCTACCCGGGCATTGTTGCATTGGAATTAATATAGATAGGTCAATCGTTGGGTTGCTTTCTTAAAAGTATCGCAAAGAAAACGTTTCAAAACAACAGATTCAAAAAATAGCAGTAGTCATATCCACCTTCACTTGAAAATTGGGATTAAAAATAATATTCGAAATGAAATTAGCCCTTCTCTGGCATTGTTGCATTAGAATTAATACAGATAATTTAACTATTCGATTGCTTTCTTAAAAGCAAAAGCAAAACAAAAGATTCAAAAAATGAGTATTCATAAAACTTTTTTTTGTTTTACAGCGAATAAATTAGCAGCAGAATGGCAAAGTATTGATCAATTTGTAACCCTAAAATTTTGTAAGGCATTCTGAATATATAAATTATTTCAAATCAAGATATAAGCTTTACCTTCTACTTAATATTCTACGTTCGGATAAATCATAAATCATTGTAAATGCCAACTGACAGATAATGAAATTATTATTCAAGCAAGTGATTCATCAAATATTTATCAATTTAATTTAGATTTATTTTGGATATTAGATGTATTCAAAATAAATAATAAAAATAATACATTATTAAGCCCACTAAGATGCAATATAATTTGTATATTAAACACCTATTTATAATAATAAAATTAAATAATTAATATTGATAATATTTTCATAGATTACCGCGAAGAAATATTTTGATGCATATTTTATTATATCGTTTCAAAATTATGTCTCAATTAACAATACTGAAGCTGCAAACAACCAACTTTGCGATTTACATAAAATAATTTTAACGGCATTAAAAAAGCAACTTCTACTCATCTGTCATTACGGTAAGCGAGACACATCGTATATCATAATAAATGCAGATAAATTTAAAACTTTTCATTATAATTTTCGTGAAAATTACACTCGTAGTCGCAGTTTCATTCTGCATAAACAGAACAAAAAGTTGGGAACGTTTAAAATCAGTCGGACAGAAAACTTTTACTGGAAAGTCTGGGTTTTGCAAGGGAAAACTTTCTGCGGGTACAAATTAAAATATATTTCTCTCGTAAACATGCCGGGTCCGTTATTTATGATATATTTATACTAGGTGTGTGGATTCTGTATTTAATTACAACAGATTGTGTATTTACCGCGATACAAGTAAATTCTACAAAAGAAAAACGATTAGGTAAAGTTTAGTTTCATATTTGTTTAAAGCTCAAAGTTTATTTTCAAAGTTCTTGCAAAATAACAGGTATATAACTCTCTTATTCCATGGTCGTATATAAGTTTGCATTTTAAATACTTTAAATCACGGTCTAATTTCTGACAGAGTAATGTATTTATTAACATCCTGAAGGAGAGTTTCATATGTTTTGGACAAATTAGGCCATTCTGAATCGTCTGACACCTAAGTTGGAAAAAGCATTTAGGTGTGTATGTGCGCGTGAGCCATTTTGGTACCTTATTCTTTGATAAGTTCTGACGTTGACTAGACTAGTTGCATTTTTAGAATTAACAGAAGAGCGCCAAATTTTTTGTCAAAAAAATCTTCAACCAACTTTGAAAACTTAAAAACCCTTTGAACAAAAGATATCAGTTGGGAGGGTGTTGATTAGTTTGAGCTAAAACTGTTTATTCATAATTAATTGTTGAAATATCTGTTTTTTTTGATAGATTTAAGTTTACTAATCTAAACATACTAAAATATTATAAGCTTGCGATAAGTGCTTTAATTAGCATAGCGTTTGGTGAAAGCTAAAACTTCATTTTCAAAATAAATAGTTAAAATTTTATATAAGTAGTTAAATCTCAATTGTTATTCCAATTAACTTAAAGCAAAATTCCACTTACAACTATATGCTATTTAATTTTAATAGTAATATTTACTCACACAAAAGACAATAAAAATTACATTTATCAAATAAATGAGATGCACAAAGATTATTTCAAAACATGTATGTAAAGTACAATTCAATTTTTGCGATAAATTCCAATTTTTCTTCACCAATTTCCAAAATAGGTAATTATCAAAAAAATATTATAGAAAATAACATAAAAGCTATTAATGTATGATATTATTTCGATACTTCAGACAAATATATTTAAAAAAAAGTTATCAAAAAATAATTATGTAGAGCAAAGGGTCAAAGAGGTTAGAAATATACAATGATAAAAAAGAATTGTATAGATCTTTAACAAAAAAACTAAAAATTTAATTACTCACGTTAAAATACAAATTGTTTCAGTTTAAAGCACTATTAAATTACCAGAATCACCTATGTATGTAAAGAAACTTTAACTAGTAAGTTTGCAACATAGGCTCATAAATAAATTCTCAATTAAAACAGCATTGTTAGGAAATTGAAATTATAATTTATAATATAACTTTCAGCTATATAGTATAAAGCATATAACGTAAGCAAATTCTTGAATGAAAAACTATTTTATAATTATAAAGAAAAATACTTAGTAAAAAGATATATACAAATGTAATAGACGATATTATAATATATAATTTTGTAGTGATTTGCGTAGTAAAATAGAATACAAAAGGATAATTGTAAAACATTGTCATAAATTTGCACTTTACTTTCTATATCTAATATATAATAACAAAAATGTATATTATTAAAGATGGGGTATATGGGAAATTGGCGCAACATGTCAGCAGGGTATAATAAGCAAAAATAACAAATATAAATTACTTAAACATGTTCATTTTTGTTAGTTCCTGAAGAAAAAACACTTTATATCGTCAAAACTGCAATGTAAGAAATGAAAATAAATTCTTTTTCGGGAGAATTTTAGTTAAAAAAATTAAGTATTTGATAACTTTATTGCATATATGTTCAAGAAAATATATACAAGCGCTTTAAAATATATGACAGTTCTATAAAACATAATTCGAAAATAAATATTTATTGTATAACATTAATTGGTTACGTAAACCAGAACAACGCATTGTAATAAAAATCACGAGAATCCTTCTGCAATGCCATTATTTATGTAAATGCATCGCAAATTATTAGAACAATTTTGCAACACAATGATTTGATTTAAATATAATTACTATATAATAATACAATGCCATTGATATTGATGCCCCTCACCACAATTTGCAATATTCTGCACAATCTAATTTGCAATGCTGTAATATGATGATTTCTAATTCTAACGATATATTCAATGTGTAATTTTTGTTTGACATAGCATTACTTTGGATTTCGTACGTGAAAAGTCAATAATAAACATGTTTCTAACAATTGTTCAATGTAAAATAAGACCCCGCTTAACTTTGCTTAATTTAGCGCAGTTTATTAACTTCCCGTAAGGCAAGTTATAGTAATCGCAAAAAATCGAAAATGAAAATTTTTATATATCTTTACGTTTCAGAGGTTTCTGAATATTTTGGCATACCTTAGAAAAAATGGATGTATGTGTGTGTGTATGTGTGTGTGTGTGAGGATACAAATTTTCGTCGACGATTTCAGGAAGACGGATAAAGCGATTTGAATAATTCAAAAAGCGTTCGATTCGTATTGATAAGGAGACGTGCTGATTAGTTTTTGGCTAAGGCAGGTCTAGCCGTTCCGAAGAACTGATCAAATTCTCATAAAGGCAGGTCTAGCGGTTTGGTTTCGGAGATCTAGTAAAAAAAGTAAAAAAAAGCCATTTGGCGGTCAAAAATGATCATTAGACATATGCACATCCAATTATCAGATATTTTATAGAGATTTTAACAATAAGTTTAAATTTTGTTCACATTCCTATGGGTTTCGTACCAATGTTTATCCGTTAGACGGGGACGCGGCGCTTACGCGCTTTGATATTTTGTCTCTATGCAGTTAAAGCAGTACAATTGCTTTGAAAAAAAGTTCAGAATTTCCAAAATATTACAAAATAAATTTTTCTTCAAAGTCTTTTTTTTCAAAAAAAGTAAATTTTTGTTAAAAATTTATAGTTTCTCAAAAATCTAATTTTCTCAGAGTAATTTTTTTTTCAAAAATGTTAATCTTTAAAAAAAAAAAAATTTGGTGCGGGAAGTTCTAGTAATTTTCCTTAAGGCACGATGCCATGCGCCCCACTAGTTTTCGTCTTATATCACCAAAATATAAGTGAAATCATAGAGGAAATAGTGGTCTTAGCTAAACAAATCGGCTTTGATAAGGTAAATGTGGAAGATGTTGAAGAAATAGTTCAAATCATTCTAAGCTAATCTTTCTAAATATGAGCTGAAGCAATTGATTAAGCAACAACAAAAAAAAACAAAAGTATTGATAGTAATTTTCAAGAAGAGCAAACAGATCTTTCAATGGTATTTGTAAATTGACCTATGAACACTATGACTAAAATGAACTAAGTTTTTAAAAATGATCCATTTGACAGGAGTTTAAATGCAAAACGAGATGTTATAGATGCTTTATTCACTTATCAATGATTGATCTGACTGAATTTATTTGATTAGTTTTATTTTTTTTTTATAAATGCAAGTGCATAGCAATCTGTCTTCAATGTGTTCTTAGTAATCGTGTTTGAATCAATATAATATATTCTTTTTCATCAAACTTATTGTGCAAACACCTGTGGCATAGTATTTAAAAGTAAGTTTTTCATTGTTGAAAAAACAAACAAGATCATCTTCAATGCAAAGACATTTTGAAAAGAAAAAGAGATCAAGTGCATCACGGGAAAAAGCTCATAAGACTGTGCAACATATGCATTTGTTATTGAGGGTAGGCAGATGTTAAGATTTTTATTATCTTATATAAAAAGTCTTATAAATCGTATATTTTTCAATATCCGAGACTAAATAAAATTTTAACTCGGTAAAATAGTAATATGCCAAACTATTTGTCATCCTTGCTTTCCGAAGTAAATTAATCATCGCAATATAATGCTTTCAAAGGTAACTCAAATTCTAAAACAAAAGTTTTCAATGAAAAAATGTAAATTGCACCTATTTGCATCTTTTAATTTGTTGAAACATTCAGACTATACCAAAAATTATTAATATGTTAATAACATCAAGTCTGTACGAGAATCAGAAGAATCTTTTATGTGTTCCGCAAATTAATTAAGTGATTTAGCAAATATATATGGTGACATCATTTTAAATATCCGAAAAATGTATTGCTAAAAAATAACATATCAAATCTATACACGAAGCAATTGCTCTAAAAGCACATTTGAGTTTGTGTATTTTTGGAAGCCAATAAAATGTTAGGGTTAATGGATATCGTACTTTCAAATTAGATGCTTTAGTGTTATTTATATGTCCACTTTTATCTAATAAATTAAAATAGATATTTAAAATCCTATCTATGATAATAGTTCCATCTTATTTATTTCTTAGCAATTGCTAATTATATTTTTTTAGATATTTCGATAGATAGGTTCACACATAGGTAGTTAGATGAAATTGTATCTAATTAAATATACTCAATTACACATATTTTAAAATAAGTATTTATTTAATCAAATTTACCTAAATGACGAAAAAAAATGCGGTCTCTAAACGTTTTAATTTCGAGTTATAATCGAGTGTAAAGTATTCATATCAACGTAATTAATATTTGGTTCAACATAATTTAAAATTCCACAGATGTATATGCATATATATATATATATATATATATATATATATATATATATATATTATGTGTGTGTGTGTGTTTTTGTCAAAAAATAATTACTATCACCTTACCTCTGGTTCACTATTGAGAGTTTCATGATGTTCTGTACTCATGGACAAAGACCTTTTCCTCACATGATTGTGTTGGAATAAATAGTAGCCCTTCAATGATCCTATCTACAAAAATAAAATACCATTAATTAAATAATTCAATAACCTACATCTAATTAAAGTTAACGTAGAAATGTGTGTCACATTTGAAATCAACTAAACCAATATTGGTATTTAAACGCATGCATATTTATTAGTTACATAGTGTCGATAATTACAAAAGAGTGCGATTAAATAATTATTAATTGATTGCAATTACACTAATGTTAGCTTCATATGCGTATTTTCAATATTTAACTAGATAAAATGTGATGATTGCAAGCGGGCTGCATACTAATTAAAATTACTTATTGGTTTTAACTCATTACAATCGATATCAAAATAAATACTTAACTAATGAGTCTTATGATTAAAATAGAAATAAAACAGTTTTATCAATGATATAAAAATGCAACTTGGTATGATATGACTTTTAAAAATGTACTGAGTATAATTAAAATTTAAGCATAATCTTCTTAAATCTGAAACTCATGAGTAAAATTATTTAGCGCTTCCTCATAAAATGACATTTTTATAAATAATTATTTTTTTCTTTATCTATCTATAGTTATTTAAATTTTTCTTTAATTACTAAAGAGAGACTTAGACACCGTAATCCGACTACATGCTAAAAACGTTATACATAGTTTGACACTATAATTCAATGTATTTTAATTATAATATAATAAAAATACTCTGAAAGTATGGGGGTGAATTACATCTTGCAGGATAAATTAAATTAGACAAATTGTCCTGATTTTCTTAATAATATATATATATATATATATATATATATATATATATATATATATATATATTGAACCACAGCATGAAGTATCGCAAAATTATAGTTGAAATTTCACAAGCTGTGATGTTTGACATTTCGTTTATGACAATTGGCAAAATGAGTTTTCTTGATATGTGCCACCGAAAATCGTAAAATGATGAGCAAGCAATTAAACCTTTATTGTTTCTTGTTGAAACTGCTGTCTGAGAATATTAACTCAAGAATTAGATTCAACTGACATTGTACCATAAAGTTTTAATTGCATCGTGTTTCTGTTAATGAAATTGAGCAACTTTCTCGATACGGGAAGTTATTTCGAAAAAAGCGCTTTTTATGCTTCAAATATTTTATAACATTCAAATACTATTATCAAAATAAAACTACGGTCGATATATTAATAGATCCCAAAGATTTCAAAACCAAAAGAAACTAGTGGTGCATGACATCGTGCCTTAAGGAAAAATTGCTGGAACTTGCCGCACCGTAACGAAATGTTCGAAAAATTTAAATATTTTTAAATTGATTATTATAAATAATGTAACATTGTCTAATATTTATAAGAATTATATAAACTGAATTGAATAATGCAAAAAAATCACACCTGGTATTAGTTGAATTACAAAGTTAAAATTGTATATTTAAAGTATAGAAGTGAGCTTCAGAATTTTAGCCAGAATTAAAATTAAAATCTGAATTATTTTCGATATATAAACATTTTTTTCAAAAGAAATTGTTTTGTTAATACAAGCAAAGAGTTTTTTGAATCATTCAAATCGGATGCATAGTTCTCTCAAAAACTAATCACCCCTTCGGAATTGGAATCGAATGTTTTTGAATCATTCAAATCGGTTGATCCGCATATACAAAACACGCACACGCACACGCACATCCATCTTTTCTGAGGTATGCCAAAAAGTTAGAAATCTCTGAAACGTGAAAATATGCAAAAAATTTCATTTTCGATTTTCGGCCAGATAACATTTACCAACATTGATTTAACATTATAAATATAAATATCAATATTCAATCTTTATAAAAAGAGCCAAGTTAGAAACATATTCACCATTTGTAAGTGCACTTTGACAAATATACTAGAATTTGCAAGTCATATAAAACTCGAATCATACTTAGCCTTCAGCGCCTTCAGGATAATGGAAAAGCACTCACAGCGATTAGATGCAAAATTCGTCTCATACATCATATCAAGCATTGCGTGGGCTCTAATTATTAATTATACTTATATGATAGCAAATATAGTTTCACAAATATATAATAATGATATAAAAACAATGTTTCAAAACGCCACATTGACCAGTACATAGTAAAATGAATTGAGGTAGGAAATGCAACCATTATAAGATATTCTAACGTAAATTGAAACAAGTTACTCCTAATAATTCATTAGCCTGTAATTGCTTGAAATGACAATGCGCAAAAATCAAGATAAATTCCGTTCGTTAAAAGTTTAATTCCGAACATGGCGATATCTGTAACAGGTGTAACTAGTAACAGGCGTTTTTCAATGGGATCTTAATTATAATATAATTATTATAATGTTATTATTATATTTTTTTTCCATTGGACATGTTAACCGTCTGTTAATCGACTAATATTAAATATTATATATCTTATTTTGTTTCAAATTTATCAATCATTAATAAAATGTAACAATTTAAGTAACTGCTGAAATGTATAATTATTTTCATTAATGTAAAAAAAACACACCTGGTATTAGTTGAAACAAAACCTTGTAACTTGTATTAGTTGTAACATACAAGATTCTGTAAATCAAGTAAAACTAGCTGTAAGTGGAATTCTGTCTTAAGGCAATTAAGGCATCGTGCCTTAAGGCAAATTGCTGGAACTTCCCGTACCAAAAATTATTATTTTTTTAAAAACGATTAACATTTTTGAAAAAAATTTATTTCGAAAAAATTAGATTTTTGAGAAACTATAAATTTGACAAAAAATTACTTTAAAAAAAAAATTTTTTTTGAAAACAAAATTTTTTTGAAAAGAAAAATGTTTTCTTCATTTTGACATTTTTTGGAAATTCTGAACTTTTTTTCAAAGCAATCGTACTGCTTGAACTGCATAGAGACGAAATGTCAAAGCGCATAAGTGCCGCGCCGCCGTCTAACAGATAAGCATTGGTACGGAACCCATAGAAATGTAAAAAAAATTATACTTATTGTTGAAATTATCTGGTAATTTGCATATTGCAATGTGCATATGTCTAATGATCATTTTTAACCGTCGAATGGCATTTTGCCTTTTTCATCTTGTCAATACAAATAAAATGTTTTTCGAATTATTTAAATCGGACGCTCCGTTCTCTTAAAAACGGAGATACCGTTTTCGGCACTTTTTGCCCCGTATCTTCGGAACGGCTTGACCTGCCTTCGCCAAAAACTAATCAGCACGTCTCCTTATCAATACGAATGTTTTTTGAATTATTCAAATCGGTTGATCCGTGTTCCCGAAATCGTAGTCGAAAATTTGTATCCGCACATACATACACACACGCACATACATACACACACGCACATACATACACAAACACACACACATACATACATTTTTTTTAAGGTATGCCAAAATGTTCAGAAGGTTTTGAAACGTAAAGATATATAAAAATTTTCATTTTCGATTTTTTGCGATTACTATAACTTGCCCTACGGGAAGTTAAAAATAGATATATAGCATAGTTTATAATATGTGGGCACATGTAAATTGTGTTGCAGGAGACACTAATTCTTCTATTTGTATAATAATATTAATTATAGTTTACGTTGATCTAGGATAAAAATGTGTATTACAGAAAACATTAAACATTAAATATTTACAAATAAGTTCTTTAAAATGAGCGAAGAATAAATTATAAGAGGCATTATTGTCGTTTTTGTCATTAATACTTGTTCCGGTAGATGTTACCACTAACCCCAACCGCACTTTTCTAGAAATTCTGAAATAATGAACGGCAATTGTGGAATTATTTTCACTTGATTCGCTGAAAGAATAGTTACAGCAACTATCCATCTTTATTTAGAACAAATAAATAAACAAAATAATTAGTGAATCTCAAAATATATTAATTAAAATAAACTGTTACAACAATCCCTTATCTCCTACTAATAAAATATATCCAACCTTTATATTTTGAGATTAAAAAAAAAACGTTTAGAAGAAATATATTTATACGCAAATGAAAACCATTACCTTTAGCCACTAAAATAAAATATCTGGTACATTTTTTATGAAAGCAATATTTATATTAAAATTAATAATAATAAATGACTTCACTAAATTTTCTAAAATCTATTATCTCATCAATTAATTGTTTCATTAGTAAATGTCGAAGACTACTCAAACAACGTAGCTCCCTTGTAAATTCATTTATATGTTGAGAGGGTGCACGATATAATAGATTTCAATTTCAATACACTATACCTTAATTAAATATGAGATATATCTTTGACTACTATACAACTCAAATGGTTGGATATTACTTATAATATTATTGTCTGACAAAGTTTAACCTTAGAGTTCCCTTCAAAATTAGTAAGTACTTCACAAGTCTAATATCTCGAATGAAAAAATTAACAAATTTAATACGTCATTTTTATATATGTAACAATTTTCCAAAAATTGGTATTTTTTACAGATTTAACAGATGCTATAAAATTTCATAAAATGTCACAGAAAGATTAATTTGTATTGACAATCTGAGAAATATTTTTATAATTTCATTAATAATTATTTTAGTCCAGTAACTGCATTATTAATTTCCCTTCTGACCTTTCATCGACTTTTTCTCAAAGTCAGTGAACCGGTTTCAAAAATTTAAAAGCTATTTTATGAGACTCGATTAGGACTTACGTTGATTAGTTTTGCAAAATAACCGGCCTTGCTGTTTCTTGAGATTAACAAGAAAAATGAGAAACTTTTCGTACGGTTTTTGCAAGAAATCTTAAATTCATTTTGAATTTTTTTAAACTTTTCGTTTTTGGCAAAAATTAGCCTGACGATAGAATTCATGGTCTTTTGAATATGAAATATCAATCATACGAAAAGTATATGAAATTATAAAAATTAATTAAAGTTTAGAAAAAAGACTATGAATTTAGACTGTTATTAATAGAATTTCAATTATATGTTTATTTGAAAGATATCTTTGAAAGATCGTTAAATCAGATCGATTATTTTTTAGTGAAAGCAAAATCTTTATTTTCGAAATAAA